CACACACACACACACACACACGCACACACATGCACACACACACACACACGCACACACACAGACACACGCACACACATGCGCGTAAGCAAAATGGGTGAACAAGGACCTCTGTAATAATTCAGGCATCAGCTTCAGATGGCCTGAACTTTATTTACTGTGGATTGGGGCGATTTATATCTTTCTTTGCCTAGCAGGGACTAAGAAAGTATCTACTTGTTTAAAGACACCAGTGACACCAGACTAAGTTTTGGAAAGAAGAAAATGTAAAGGTGTACAGGGCACACCTGTAATCACAGTGCTTGGGAGGCAAAGGCAGAAGAAACAGGGATTAGAGATTAGCTTCAGACATGTTTGAGGCTAGCCTTGGCTAATATGTGTTTGTACAATAGAACTGTGGAGAGGGGTATGAGAGTAAGCTAGAGGTAAGCTCAATCCAATGAGAATGGAGAAGAGAAAAGTCAATTAAAATAAAAGGACATTAAGAATCTCAGCACCTGGGAGGCAGAGGCAGGCAGATCTCTGTGAGTTTGAGGCCAGCCTGGTCTACAGGGCTAGCTCCATGACATCCAGGGCTACACAGAGAAACCCTGTCCTGAAAAACCAAACAAAACAACAACAACAACAAAAGATAGAACAAGACTCTAGCTATATACAATAATTGGGAGAGGGAACCACAACCATGTTCAGGGAAGGGGACAGAAATAGAGTGTTGGTTGTGGGATGTAATTATGAGACTAACTGAAACTGACATGTGGCGTTTACAGCAGCTCAGCAACTGGGTACCTCTGTCCACCACATGAGGGTAACCACACTCCTGGCCTACCAGGGATGCTCAGCCTTTTGAAGTATGTTCTGGTGAGGAAGGTGGCAAGGAAACACAGTCATGCACTTTAAGCTATTTATTCTGTAATAAAAACAAAACAAAACCCTGAAAAGAGTAAGGACATGGGCCCATGTATAGATGCGTGTGGTAGGCCATTAAAGTCCATTGAGAAACGAGAACCCACAGTGGGAAGATATTGCAAATAAATAAGCAATTAACAATGAGCCCAGAATAACTTCTCAGACAGCAAGCAAACACTAGAGCAGATATTCAGGAAACTATCGAAGTGTCCCTAGAGAGGGGTGGGGGTGGGGGATGGATGGAGAGTAAAAAAGACAATGATATGCATGTCAGGGTTGAAAACCAAGCATTCCATAGAAGGGACAGTAGCTAAGGAAGAGTCAGGCCCTGACTTCCCAGTTTTCATACAAATGGATTTGGATTTGATAGTCACAGAACTCCTCTGGATCCACTCAGAACACACCATGGAAGTGGGTGTTGAAAATGGCTCTCCCTGAATCCAGCTTTCTCTTTCCTCTTTAGCTCTATTCATAGAAATAACCCTGAGAAACAAGGAGAGAAGAAAGGTCATGACCCATGCTCAGAAATGAAGAAATAAGCCTTGCAGGAAAACAAGGGACACTCAGTTAAGACAAAATTATCACCATTCTCCAAGGCGGGACCCTAGGTGGTAGGTGTAGCGCCGATTGAAGTTTTGTTAAAGTTACTGTGTCAGAAAGGCACCACAGAGCCTGTGCAGAAGTAACTTTCAAGACCAAAATAGACCAAAACCAAAACATGAGCACTACGTACACATAAAACATCTAAAGAAATAGAGGAAGAGCTGAATATTTGCAGTGCTTTTCGTGCTGGCATGAAGCCCTCAAAGCAAAAAGTACAGGAAATTAGAAGAAGGAAAATTCATAACAGCATGGGAAGAAAATAATGAAATAACCAGAAACAAGGCTGGTAACTTTCCCACTCAGTCTACACAAGGAGTAGAAGCAGAAGGCTTCCACTTTATGAGGGGTGCTAAAAATAGGCAATGAGATTGTCTTTGAGCTGAAAGGAATCTTAAACAACACTTTCCGTTTAGAAGTGAGGCTCTGCCTCATCATGTTAGGAAATCTACTCCTGACTTACAGAGCCATAGTGCTTCCGTCACCCAAAGCACACAGTGGCTGCAGAGGGTAGCCACGGAATTTATACTCCTGGACCGAATGGAAAATCTAACAGTAGTTCCTGAAAATCTGTGTTTAATAAGCACCCCCAAAGTAAATGGAGACATCAGTAGTGCCGAGCCAAATGTCACCAGGGTGTAAATCACAGACATTCTCTCCTCTGTGACCTCCCTTTGTTGTTTTATAAACCTTACCAAGGAACACTGAGACTAGCCTGTGAGAGGTAAAGGCCAGCCCCACACTCTTATTGGTCTCTCACCCTTTGGACAATTCAGCAAAAATCTCTAAGTCTAGTTTACCTGTTGGTGGATTTACTGCTATAATTGGATCAAATCCTTTACATAGCTTGTCTTTTGAAAGGGTATCGTAGAAACCTATCCTACAGAAGCCCCTAACCCTTACCAGTCTGGGTTCTAAAGGAGACACTGGAGCTGAAACTACCTGCTGAGACTGTTCAGGAAAACCAATGGGTGCTTCGGGATATTCAAGCACCGTTTCCCAAAACTGTCAAAAGAACTACCCACCGCTTTTTAAAGTCTGATCTTTCCTTGGAAAGTATAATGTTGGGTCCTAAAGACCTTGAATTCATATCTCAGTTTGGCAGCTAGATTTTTGCCTGTACACAAAGGCTCACCTTGGTTCCCAACTCCTCTGCTTAGATCAAAGCCAACATCCGCCTTTCTATCTTTAGGGCTCTTTGCTAGGGTAAACATTGTGCTTCCAGCAAGGGCAAGAACAAATTCAAAGCTACCCTTCAACTCTCCAGATGCAAAACTCAGACTTATGCCCGTGTCTGATGGAAACAGCATCGCACCAAACCCCTCCAGATGCAGCAGAACAAAGAAAGGCCAAAGGCAGCTGTTAAGAGGACACCATGGGAGGGGTGTTTGCTGTGCGACCTCCTGGGCTCCTGGTGCCGCCACAGCTCCGCAAACTCCTCAAGATTAGCTGACCAAAACATCCCTAGGTAAACATTCCATCTGTCCAGAGGATGTGGCCTGTAAGACAGTGTATCTGCAGAGCTCCTCCTCCATGCTGAGAGTCCCCTGCAGGCACTCTAGGGTCCCCTTTGTGTTCCCCACCCCATCCCTCTTGATTAGTGGCCATCACACAGTGCAGTGCCTATGGCAGAGGACCAATCCAAACACTCTTGTCTAGGTTGCAACTAGAGCAAAGTTTGTGTTTTCACTTGAATTCTTAGCAAAAGTCCCAATAATGTGATCCTATGCAGTGCTTTCTTATCTTGGAAGACATTTTGCAGCAATACATTGTCCTAGCAGTGACGTTCTGATACACATGGGATGATAAATATTAATGTCCCCAAGCTGGCAATATAGGTCTGTTTACCTTAGACATGTGAATAAGCAACACACACACACACACCACACACACACCACACACCTTCGTGGGGAGGGGCGGGTGATGACCATGTCCCCTCTTGAGATAACATAGGAATGTTAGAGTCTGTCATCCCCAAGATTACACTATTGTCTTATCTAGATCCCCCTTTTCTCTTTCATTATGTGTGTCTTTCCCGAGAAGTGAAAATCCTGGAGACAAAATCTCAACCCTTCCTGTTCTGAAAGGCAAAGATTATCCCAGCAGTCCGCAGCTCTGACACTGTGTGCTCCTGCTGAAAGGTGTCTTCACTCTGCCTTCTGTGTTTGACCTGAGGTGTCCTGGTTCCAACCACCCACATTCATGCCTCCTATCAAGTTCCACGGACTGTATTTCCAGCAGAAATTCCTGCCTGTGAGTGCAGATCAGACTGGGTGTCAGAAAGGGGTTTTCTCTGCTTCCCTTTGCAGCATGGATGTCCTTCTTTTTCAAAAGGAGCAGTGCAGCTCTAACAGTGCTAATGGGGGTTGGACATTCCTGCCTGTGAGTGCAGATCAGACTGGGTGTCAGAAAGGGGTTTTCTTTGCTTCCCTTTGCAGCATGGATGTCCTTTTTCAAAAGGAGCAGTGCAGCTCTAACAGTGCTTATGGGGGTTGGAATTAGCCATGGAGCATGATGGGTTCAGTCAGTGCAATACTGCATGAAATGTAGCAACTCTACCCAAGGGGTAACTGTGGCTCCAGAATCTCCCCTTCTTGTAAAAGTCAAACTGTGTGTGTGTGTGTGTGTGTGTTTTTTATTTGTGTACCAGTGTGTGTGTGTGTGTGTGTGTGTGTGTGTGTGTGTGTGTGTGTGTGTATACATGTTCATGTTGTCTATCTACCCACACATGAGATACGCTAACAACCCTAGGAAAAATATTCTGATCATTTGAAAACTCAAAAATAAGAACTTTTAAAAATGTAAAATTTTAGTATAGTAAATTCCAAGGTGAAGATGAGAAGGGAGGGAGAAAGATTTTTTTTTTGATGACTTTAGAAAACATCCATTTGAAATAATTCTTACTTACTGGGAAGCAAACAGGTTAAGTATGTTTCTGGTGACCTAAAGTGGGTTTTCTGTCTCACCGGGGAACCAGGAACAAAGAGATAGGCTCACTCCACCAAATCTAGACCAGGCTTTTATTTCTTTCCCCTTCCAACCTTGACTAAGACAAAGCCCAAGAGAGGCTTCATTTTCCTGCCATTCTCTGGTGAGACCAACATCAAAGGGCAAAGGGAAAGGGCTATCCATGGCAGATTGAGGAGTGCGGAGAGGGGGGACTGTGGAAAATAAGTTAGTTCCTTCACAAATCAGATAAAGTTTAGTCTCCTTTTCCAGAACACCCACATCTACAGACAGCCACTGCAACTCTCCCACTACCAACACGAAGACACCGAATGGTTCCTCCTGTCTCCTCAGTCCACCAGGGTAAAAGTCACTCACCAGGAGCTGCTCCACTCTGCTTTCCTGTGTCTTGTGTCATCTGTGTTCCACCACGAAGCTCATGGTGGTGCCATCAAAGGAAGGGGGAGCGATGATCCGTGGCCCCAAGGGCTGTGAGGTGATGCTGATAACAGGCTTGCCATGCAGCTGGGCAAAGCCCTTGGCCCCCACAAGCTGGGATGTGGCTGCCGGGGCCGAGGAGGAAGAGGAGGCAGGGGACTGACCAGAGGCCATGAAGTATGGGGCTTCAGTGAACGCTGCGGCTGTCTCTTTAGTGGGGGTCTCTGCTGCTACTGAGAGCTCACTGCCTCCTGCAGTGTGAGCAATGGGCGTGGGCTGCAGGGCGTTGGAGGGCAGCACTGTGGGCAGAAATCCAGGATAGATCATATAGGTGGGCCCATAGGCCCCAGGACTCAGGGCCAGAGGTGGTACAGGAAGGGACATGGGTGCCACAGGTTGTTGCTGGGAGGTCATAGGCACATCCACATATTGTCCTGTCTCGGGGTCAAACAATCTCCGGGTCATGGGTTGAACGGGCGTGTCCACCAGATAATACTGTCCAGTGGTCACATCAAGGAGCATCTTGCGCTGTGTCTGCTGAGGCTGTGTCTGCTGAAAGGGGTCTGTGGGGACTGCGGCTGGGCCTGCAGGCGCTGGAGCTGGCATACCGGGTGGGGAGAAACAGAGGACCTGAGGCTGGGCCCCCTGCAGAGTAAAGGGCAATGCCTGCTGGTGGTAGACGGCAGTGGGAGTATGCTCCGGGCTCTGCAGCCCTGTCGAGGCCGCGACTACTTCGCGGTGGTTGTCAGGTTTGGTACGCCAAGCTGGCCTACTGGTTCCACTGACATGAGTGCCTTTGGAGTTATTGGGGACCTGACTGCGGGCACTCAGTGGAGGTAAGCTGCACAGAGTGGCCGCCGAGGAGCTGGGAGGCCCGTCTCTGGAAGGCCCTGGCCTGCCAAGCAACTCCCCTGAAGCAGAGCTTCCTTTAAGGGGTGTGCTCAGGTAATTCTCACATTCACTGTTGCTCTTTTCCAAACTGACAGCAGTTTTCCTGTTGGTGACCTCGTCAGGAGGGGCCCGGGTGGCTGGGGAGATCTTGAGCGATCTGAGCCCCTGAGATTTGATGCCCTTGGCTGCTGAAAGGCTCTCTGGAGAAGGCCCTTGTGGGAATTTGCCCGCAACACCCCCGGTTTTTTGAGTGCTGCTTGCACTCATGGTGAACACGTTCCGGTTGTTGGGGAGAGGGGGGAGGGGCTGCAGAGGTTGGGCTCTTTCTGCATCCTTGTGGACTGGGGGAATATAGAGCGACCTGGGCCTTTCTCTGGCCATGTTCTCAAAGGCAGCTGCCCGGGCAGACACACTCTCAGTGCTGGGGTTCGAGTTTCTCCTCTGCAGGCGTTCAATGGGGGCCCCTCTTAGCACCACACCAGCTTTGTGTCCCACATCCCGTTCTTCCATCTGCCCCAGTTGCTTGGCCAGCTTGTCCGGGTCTCCTTCAGGTCCGGCCACCCCTTCCCTCTCCTCACTGGCAATGAGTGACAGGACATGGCTGTCAGCCATCATGGGCAGAGGGTCACTTTTGCGCTTCCATTCATTCCTGTTGAAGCTATACAGCTCTTCCATGGACCTCACTGCAGCCGTTAGCTTCTCCAAGGCGTTCCTGGCTGGCTTTGGCGCTTTCCCTTCCTCCTTCATGTCTTCCTCTTTGGGTTTCTCTGGGGTCCGCTGAGCGGAAGCCTTGGAGACAATCTTGAGCACGGGCAGGTAAGAGCCCTGCTCAGATTTATTGGGAGCAATGGTGGCCACAGGCAGCCTTCCAGATGCCCTGTGAACCAAGACAGTCCCTTCTGGAGAGGAGTTCAAGACTCTGCTGCCACTGCCCACTTTGCTCAAGCCTTCCCTGGACTCTCGTTCCGCACTGTCTTCTTTTGGGTTCACAACTGCCTGGCACATGATCACCATAGGGGACAAGGACCCAGATCCTCCAGCTGCAGCAGTCAGCTGCCTAGGCTTCGGCCCTGTCAACCCCTGCTCTGGGGTGACACTGCCCTTGTCACTGTTATCCCCTGACCCTTTGATTAGTTTCCTGACATCCCTCACCTGGTGCAGAGGTCCTGGGGCCTTACTCTTGTCTCTAACATCTCTCACCTGGAACTGGGGCACCTTTTCCAGATTGTCCCCACCCCGGAAGAGTTTCTGCTGGGTCCTGCTGTTGTCCTCAATGGTCTTAAAGAGGTTTGAGTTGCTGCCACTAGCCAGTTTGGGCGTGAGCAACTTGGCAATGTTGAAGTCTGAGCTTGGCTGCTGTACACTTCCCAGGCGGATCTTGATTTCGGGAGCTTTGGGTCTGATCACTGCCGTGGAGGTGGCCTGGGCAGCAGCAGCAGGGTACTTGGTGGCCTGCTTCTCTGGCTGTTTGTCCTTGGGCGTCTGCTGGATGTTGGGAACGAAGAGGCGAGACATGATGGTAGGCTTGCTGCCAGAGATCTCCCCAAGGTCAGCCCTCCAGTCCCCACCTTTGGGGGGCTTCAGCTTCCCAACGGGGGCCTTCTCGTCCATCTTCTCTGCCTCTTTCTCCTTCCATGTCCGGAAGGCACTGTTCTGACTCCGAAGGAAGATGCCCTTCACGGTCTCTGAGGCACTCTTTTTAATTTCACACACTTCCGTGTGTCCATCAGAGAAATTTCGGCCGGGGCCTGTGTTGCTCTCTCGAGGAGTACTGGCTTTGAAAACGGGGGACTTGGAACCCACAACAGATCCTTCTCCACCTGCGTCAGACACGCTGACCACGGTGTACTCGGAACTAGCCTCCGAGTGCCGCGAGCTCTGCCTCTGCAGGCCCCTCTCCCATGGCTTCTCAGCCCCAGGAGGCCCTTCTATCTCCTTAGAGGTGCTGGGGGCGTTCCGGTGAGATGTATCACTGACTTCTCCTCTCTCCATTTTGAACTCATGTTCTCGCTGCATCTTCTTGGAAATGACGTTTTTGAGCAGACTCGAAGCAAATTTGGACTTCTTCTGGGGGCCATCACTGCGGGAGGCAGGCTTGTTACTCTCGGATGTCTCTGATCCATCATCTGTGTACACCGACCCCGGACCTTTGCTAGAACCTTTGCTGACTCTGCAGGGCCCGGTGGCTGAGCTGGCTTTGCTCTCACTTCGTAGATTGAGGGGCTCCAGAAGTGTGACCACCCGGGAGCCAGTTTGGACCTGCTTCTGGAAGCACAGGGGCGTCTCCACGTGTTTGATTTCTCCTTCAACTTTGCTGACCACAAACTCCAAGGCCTTGGTCTGGGACTTCCTGGCCTGGAGGTAGAGCTGGTCTGCGGTGGCTCGAGCGCCCCCACCCTTCCTCAGACCTGCAGCCACAGAGGCCGCACTGCTCCTCAGCAGGCTCTGCTCCACCCTGGCTCCAACACCTCCACATTTTAAGTCCAGGAAGGTTGACCATCGTCCAAAGCCCACTTCAGAGAGTGTGGTGGAGGATTCCCGGGAGCTGATGTTCAGAGCCTCAAAATAGGGATAAGCAAGGCTCCGGAAGGCCCTGGAAGTCAGGTTTCTCACCTCTTTGTCTGCATCGTCCAGCTCACTCACTGCACTGGAGGCTCCGCTGGAATAGTCCACCAGCTCCTTGGCCCGGATGGCCCCGCACCTGGTTTGCAGTCGAGCTGGGACTGCAATGAATTTCTTTGCATGGTCCTGAGCCACGGCTGCAGCTGAATTTTGCTTTTGTGAACTTGAATTGTGTTCAGCAGCTGTAGAGACGCGGAGGCTCATGTCGCCTTCATGCTTGGCAGCATAAATAATGTTTTGCTTTGCACGCACGTTGCTAGGCTCATTTATAGCCCGGGAAGTTGGCTTGATTGATAGGAGGATCTGGCTTGCTGCACTCCCACAGCTGCTTGCAGCAGTGACCGGTGCCCTTAACGCTGCCTCCCGGAGCTCCAGTAAAGGCTCAGGTGGAGTGGCAGTGCCAGGCCCAGTGGGTGGGGGAATAGTGTCACTGTCAGAGGGGCCACTGCCCACTTCTGTGCTGCTGGTGTCACGGCCACTGCTGCCTGCACTAGGGCGAGCCAGGTCACTGCTGATGGGGCTGGGAGTCCGAGTGGTGTTGGTACTCGGAGTGGTGCTGACGTAACAGCTGTTGTCATCATCTTCTTCGGTGGTGATGTCTCCTGGGGTCTCATCACTGCCACCAAAGGAAGCATAGTCCACGAACGAGTAGATCACGTTGTTGTCCTCGAAGTCCCAGCGAGAAGCCAGCCCCACATCGAAATCCATACCCTGCTCCATCTCACTCAGCTGGATCTCATGGGTGGTGATGTAGTGTGCTTCCTCATTTTTCAGGGGGTCCCTCTTGCCCTGGGATTTGGCAATAATATCCTTGCACTCTGTTCCATCACCGACCCCTCCTCTTTTAACCTCCCTGGCTCCTGCCCTTTCCCCGGCTTCTTCTCGGTTGTGTTGCTGGCAGCTCATTTCCGCCTCACTCTCAAAGCCCAAGGATGAAGAGGAGGTGGCCAGGATCCCCAGTAACTTTGTGGGATCATCCGTTTTGGAAAGGCCAGCGTCTTCTGCTCTGTCCACCGGGGAGGAGGAGGAGGAGGAGGAAGATGAGAAGTCATTCTCACTAGCCCGGGAGCTGGGGCATTGGGAGGAAGCAGGGCTCTTCCTGGGGGTTGGAGCCTCACTAGCATGGCTGCTGGGTTCATCCTTGGCTTTTGTCGTTGGGCTCCCAGAAGCCTGCTCCCTAAGGCAGTGTTCCAGTAGCGATTTCATGGTCTGGGGGCTCTCACTTCGGACTCCAGCTGAAGCACACATCTCCACATACTTGGCTTCTGGCTGGGTAGAGTCTAAAGGCTCAGGAAGCGGCCGCAGCTGCTGCCTGGGCTCTGGGCTGTTTTGTGCTCCGCTCACCCGGTCCTCCGCAGGCGTCAGGCTGGTCTGAGGGTTCATGTCAGAAGTACCGCCTTCCATTCTGAGCCCTTGCCCAGGTTTCAGTGACAAGAAGAGGCAGTGGTGAGCTCTGGGGCTGTCCTGGGTCCCCCTCTGGTCCTGGAGGGGCCGCAGAGTGGCCTGAAACAGGTTCCCACGTGCCTGGGCTGGCCCCAAGGCTGTAGGTACCACTGCTACCGCTGCCACCACTGCCCAGTGCTTCAGCCCCTGTGGCGGGGCCTCGGCAAGCCAGAGTGAGGCGGGAGGGCTCCCAAGAGGGGCAGCAGAGGAGGTCTGTAGCCAGGGGGCTGCGGCTCTGGCCGCGACTGTGGCCAGTGTCCTGCTGCTGAGCTGTCCTGTCCAGTTGCTTGTCTGGCACCGTCCGTGGCTGGGGGTCTGAATGCCATCAGCCAGCGAAGAAGCCGCATCTGTAGGTCGACCCCGGGTCTGCCAGAAATGAACGGAAAGCATGTGCTGTGTCTTATGCAGCCTTGGCGCTTTTCTGGATGGGGAGACAGAGGGTCACGTCATTCCAGAAATATTTTTAGTGTCCATTCCCTAGTCATATCGAAACTACACTTGTGGGTAAAAGGAAGAGGCTGTGAAGAGATGAGGAGAGGAGGTGGGGTGGGAGAGGAATGTGGCTTCTGACTCAAATCCGCCAAATGTTCATTGTAATCTGTTTTAGAGCCGTCTAGCAAGTACACAATTACCAGTCACTGGCTGCCATCTTTCTCTCCCCAGCCTCTGATTACATGAATTTTCTCCTCTTGTTCAAAATTCAAATTTTGCACCAGGCTTCAAATCAATTAAGGAAACTCCAGAAATATTTCGAGTCTCCCTTGTGCATATGGTAAATTTATATTTGCTTCATTTGCATACTCTATCTCTTTGGAGAACAAAATCAGATGAGTGATGGTTATAAAAGTTTTCATAAGACAAGAATGTTTTTTTATCCTCCTTCTGTTTGGCCAAACTTACACTATGTGGAATATAACCTATTTGTTTGAAAATGGGGGGGGGTCGGGAGGACCCCTTCTAGGATCCTTACTGTGCTGATTCAAAGCTGAAGGTGGGGGGGAATTTTCAGAGATCTAGAAACTGCTTAAATAAACTTGGAGCTACGGGCACTCTGAAGAAACACGGGAGGACAATGTGGACATGATTTCAAATCCCTACAGTAGCTTCTCAAGCTCAAAACTGTTCCTCAACTTGTAAACCCATGACAAGACAATAAACCCCGTTAAATATAGCCTGAGCTGCAGCTCAGCGATTGGATTCCCCTGGCTGTATGCCAGGCCGGCAGGGCACAGAGTCAAAACACAGGAAAGAACAACGAAAATGCTTACCCTTCATGAGTACAGTGCACTTGGAGGGAGGCTCCGAGAGGAAATGTGAGCCGCTGGCATGCCCCATGAAATACAGCCAAAATCCCAGTTCACCGGCTCTGAGACAGAGCCATTCCAAACAAGTCAAGGGTGGTGCAGGCAGATTTGCCAAGGCAACCCACCACAGGGGTCTGTGCCAGCAACCTTTGGGGCAATTCCCTAGGCACAGTCCATAGAGAACTACAACTTGGTTTGGGGTGAAATCTAGCCCTCATCAGCTGCCAGGTTCCACCACTATACATAGTCTGTGTGTCACTTATGCCGACTGGATAAAGCCCTATTTTAAACATCCACATTTGTGGAAAACAAAAATAACACCGTCAAGCATCCCCTTTTGACATGAATGCCACCCCCACACTGAAAAGTGTTCCTTCCTCTGAGTAGGCTTGTGGGTAGGTGGGAAGCAGTTACCCCTAACAACTGCAGTTTCTGCCTTCTCTCCCTGTTGGGGTACAGGCATCCCAACCCAACTATTCTCCCTGGACCAGCCCTCTGCCACTAAAACATGATCAGGAGAGCCTGAAAGCATCAAGAATGAAATTGTGGATATAAAGCCATAACTCACAGTGAGAAGAGAAAAAGAAATACCTTGCGAATCTTAGTTTCTTGATTAAAGAATACAATAACTAGGAACAAATATATATATATATATATAGTTTTGGTTTTTTGAGACAAGGTTTCTCTGTGTAGCTTCAGCAATTCTCAATCTCTTTGTAGACCAGGCTGGCCTGAAAGCCACAGAGATCCTCCTGCCTCTGCCTCCAGGGTGCTGGGATTAAAGTCGAGCACCATCACAGCCAGGCAATTTATGCATATATTAATTATTGAATCCTGTTTAGGACCTGATGAGTTAAGTACAATTTCTGTACTGACTTTATAGATGGGGAAACTGAGACCCAGAGATGGGACAGAAATTCAAACCACCAGCTATTAAATCTGCATGACCACAAATGAGCCACGTAGCTGTTTGAGTTTGGTTTTTTATTTCATATAATCAACCTGAGACCACGTTATGGACTCGGGGGACTAAGAACCATGATCCTGTTAATAATATGGGATTAAATATAGTCACCTTCTCTTAGGCAAGCAGAATTTTCAGCTCTCCAATTTTAAATTTTCTTTGAGGCTGACCATGCTTCAACCAGCAAACCCTGAAGACCGTCCCAGGTACTATGAGGCATGTGTACTTCATGACTGAACAAGAGGCAGAGTTTCTGCTCAACAGATAATTAAACTGTAAGGAAGAACAGCTCCAGCACTTTTCTATGGCCCTGTTCTATCACGACAATATAACAGATTTCCCCGAGTTTCTTCCCATAGTTAGCAAAATATAAAAACTGGAAGGTCAGGAGCATTGGGTGTAAGTTACTTCCTAATTTCTTTTCTTTTCTTTTCTTTTCTTTTTTTTTTTTTTTTTTTTTTTTGAGACACAGTTTGTAGACAAGGCTGGCTTTGAACTCAGCAATCCACCTGCCTGTGCCTCCTGAGCACTGGGGTTAAAGGTGTGTGCCACCACCCAGCACAATTTCTTAATACCCAAAGTTCCTAAAATCTCCCTCCCTCTGTTCCCTCTTTGAGAAAAAAGCCCCTGAGACTCAGGCCAGCACAGTTCTAACTGGGTACTCACCTTCAGGAGATGTGTGGCTCCTTCTCTGTTCTCTAGTGAGACAATATAAGAGTGTGTGTATGTGGGGAAGGGGGATTCCTTCCTGTAAAGTCAGTTTCCAAAGAGGTCTGTTTAAGCCAAACCATGGATTTCTTTTAAAAATCAAAGAAGCTAAAATCTGCAGTAGGACTTACTATTCGAAGAAGAGGAGCCTATAAATAGAAAAGTAATGACCAACTTTAGGGTAAAGAAGGCAGTTAAGAGCTCCAAACTGTTCACCTTGAGGCATTTTTCTAGAGTTCTGGGTCAGTTTATGGTACTTCAAAAAGGGATGGTCTCCAATCTGTTGAATAGTTTGGAGTCATTGGTGGCCACACTGCCTTTTATTCCTTCATATGACTACAAGCACTTTTTTACAGATGAACTCAGTGATTGTCTGCCCGATTTCAAGTCTTGAGCAATGGGCAGTGACTAATAGTGCCAGCATTAACCCATGCTAAGCAGGCCCATTTGGTAAGCCAGGCAAGGTATGCCCTGCTGATAACTTTATATGGGAACTCAGAGAGCAACAAAGGAAATGACTCAGCAGCATCGTTATTTTTATCTCCCTGGAGAAAGTTCTTAGCTTTCCCTGAGGGTTTTTGGAGATAGATAAATGTGTGTAAAACCTTAACATGGTTTAACAAATTAAGAACGAGGGCCCCTACCATTCACCAGTTGGTCAAAGTATAGACTTACATTTAGGGTCTGCAACTGTGGCATAGTATAACTAAGCATGTCATTGAAGAGAAACAAAACAGTATTCTGAAGGTAGGCCATAGGCTGGAAATGAAGAGATGCATTAGATTAAACTTAGCCTCAGGTTAGATGCCAAACGCTTACCCAAGCACAAACATTCTTAGTTCCTCTGGGGTGCAATGGGAAGGGAGGGTGATGCCTTATACTTAATTGAAGGTCTTTCCATAGAGGTGTGTTTAGCTCTCAGCACACACTTAGGTGAATAAGGCTTCTCTGCTGGCTACTGCCTAAGACCCAGGGTGTGGCCAGCCCCTTCCTCCCAGGCCCAGGTAGGGACATGTGAAAATTAGTGTCTGAAAGAAGGCATCCTGCCATCTTTTCATTTTTCTGAAAGTATTCAAAGGTGCCTAATTATTTAGTTATTGAGTTAAGCACTTCACCATCATATGACTAAAAAGTAGTTACTGTTTCCATTTCATGGGTTGAAAACAGTGAGGCTGAGTAAAACTTGCCCTTTATATGGCTTTTCACAAGTTTTCCCACTTAACAAATGTTGTCACCCTAGTTAGAACTGGATTTGAGTTGGTTCCAGCCTACACTGAGTCTATGGGGTGGGTGCTGTCACAGGGCCATGCCTGTTGCAGGTCAATTAAGCTGTTTCACAGTCTCAAGCCAGCTGCCTGCCCACGGAACCGGCTGGTCCAAAGATATGGAGAGGCAGGATTAGAAGACAAAGACTATCCCTGTGAAGGGAAAAACAGCATGTACGGTGGGGATGAATAGTGAAGAAAAGCACGTAGTTGTAGCATGGGGCCACACACACTCTAGATGCAACCCCTTAGCTATGCCCTTAAAACTTGGAAGGACAGGAAGGAACAGTTCACCACCAGAAATAAACCCTTACTAACCAACCCTTGAGCCTGCACACACGCTCAGATGTAGAGCTAAGTGGTTGTTCACTTTGCCTCTTGAGCCAGGAGGCAGACCAGGGAGCTCATCTTCTCCAGCTGCCCTCCTCCTGATTTTTGTCTTTTGAACTCCCATTCTGGGCTGTTATTCCTCTGAGCTCTTACTTCTTATGTTAGACAATTGCATCTACCTGGCCTTTCTCCTCTGGAGCTGTGGAGGTATCAGGGTTTCAGATAGGGCCATATAAAGAAAGATCCTCCCTTGAAGACCACCCTCAGGTGAAATCTCTATAGCACTACTTAAAATAGCCTGACTCTAAATCTTGGTCCATCTCAACCATGACCTGTTTGTCATCCCGGCTTGTATGTTATGTATCCAGAGAGGAGGTGGTGGCACGGGGTTTCCCCTGTCTGTGACAGCAGAGAAGGGAAGATATCTCCTTGCTTTTCATAAGTTAGTTCAAGCAGGATATAACTAGCCAAGTCAGCTACTTGGGCAATCACATAGGTCACATATTCCTATAATTTTTAGGAAGCATGCATTTTTTTTTCTTTTAAATCTTGAGGTTGCATTTTGAGCCCTAAACTCTTGGTGGGTTGTTTTTGTGGCTTTTTTTTTCTCTTTTGGTTCTGTCTACTTTGGAAAATGTGTGTTAACTACAATGGTACTTAGAATGACCAACCTGTATGTTACATTATTACCAGATTACTGTTCTATCACTATCACTGTGAAGAGACACCATGGCCAAGGCAACTCTTTTTTTTTTTTTTTTTTTTTTTTTTTTTT